CCTGTGTGTGAATTTTAGCTAATTGAAATGATTAAAACAATGTTTACAAGTCCATTAAAATCTCCCTGTATATTCATTCAAGCTTCTTATTTCTTCCAGTGACAGGGAGGGAGGAAACACTCAGAGAAACTTTGGCAGCCACAAAATGAAGGGGGCACAGGCACAGCTCAGGCGCCTGAATAATTGTGCAGGCACACACACACACACACACACACACACACACACACACACCTATCACATATACTCCACCAGCAGCATTATTAACTAGGAAACACTTTGAAGTCTTCCATGAAGAAAATGCAATGCATTTTCAATTGCTTTTGCTGGCCGCTGTGGCTGCGCCTTTTCATAATTGTCTAGTCTTTCCCTGCTTAGACTATGACTTTTTCAAATATCTCTCTTCTGCTTTATTTAGCACCTGATTCTAATTGTAAAACTGAGTAAAAGTGGGGCACAGTACTCATGCCAGTCTGTTTGCTTTGCTGTTATTTATTTATTTTTGCTTTACTGTTTTTTAAATCTTCACCAATAAGCCAATTAGTCCAACATTCTTCAGTCTGGCTTTGCACAAAACCTTAAGACAAAGGAAAATGGCATGCAGATTCAGTGCCATGGTGTAACGGGACGTGCTTTTATAGAATTTGCAAAAGAACCCTCATTTCCACGTAAGGCCTGTTGCCTAACCTCACCCTCTGCATCTTTTTCAAGATGGTCCATACACTTCACTGTCAGGTTTTGTGCTTTCTTGAGGCTTCTCCTCCACACCTTTCCAAACTCTGCCTGCAAACCAAATTCAAAGTCTTCTTTATATCTTCATGAATAATTGGAGCTTAGTGTGCAACACATTGTTGAGTATCGGATGTTTCATTACTATAATGAAATAGTCAAGGCAGTTAATGTTATAAAGAAAAGGTGTAATTAGCTAATTTCTTTGAGGGCTCAAGGGTACGTTGCCTCTACTAGCTCAGTTCTGGTAAAGCTCTCACAGGGATGATGAACCTTCAGTGGTAGTAGAGCATGCCTGAGTAGAAAGATCACACTTACAACCAAGATGTAGGTAGAATAGGAGAGGGTAGTGTTGCTCCATTCATAAGAACTATGTCATGAGAACTAGTGAGATGTTCTTTTACAACAAACTCCTGGCCCCTCTGATTGAAAGATCTTCCCTTGTCTCAACTTCCCTTGGGACATAGTACCAAACCTTTTATCACAATCCACCCTTAGAGGTTCAAAAGCTATGTTCAAATCTTAACATTAAAGAGTGGATGAATATGAAAAAGGGGGGCTAAAGTGGATAGAAGATTGATAAAAAGATCAATTTAATCACCCTGAGTAGATATGATGATGTTTTGTTTAATAATTGTAACTTTATAATGGTAACAATTGTAACTTTTAGTGTAAAATATTAGGATGTATGTATTCAAGGTATATGTTGACGATGCAGCTGGGAAGACTTGGAGGTGGAGCCCATGGAAGACCAGTGAACTTCAAAGAGCAGTTTGTAAAGCACTCAGTTCAAGCCATGCAAGAAGGGATGGAGAAATGAGTGAAATTGTCCCTTTATATTCATATATAGTAGTATCTTCTCTCCTAAGGAGAAATGTGTCTCAGCTTCCTAAAAGATCCCACCAAAGACATTACTGCTGTATTTAGAAATATTTTTCTAAAGTTGCAGACCATGGAATTTATATTAAATTTCAGTTTATTACTTACATGGAGTCACTACATGTTATTTTGAAATCTTTTGTTTTTTTATTTTTATTTTTGGTGCCAGGGATCAAACTCAGGACTTTACACTTGCCAGGCGGGTGCTTATGCCACTGAGCTATCTTCCAGGTCCTTCTTTAATTAAAAAAAATCAAATGGAGAATTTTAAAATGTTTGTAGAAATTATTCCTATCTGTATACTACATTCTTATTCTGTGCAGAAAATTTATAAATTGGAGGGCTAATTCTATGCACAAAACATCTCCATGCTTGTTCCGAAACTTAGTTTATGGATCCTACTTTAATGACACAAAAGGCCATAGAAATAAACCTGCTATGTTATTTCTACCATATGCATTATATGGTTAATCAAAGACTCTGGAAGTTTACATATTAGAAGACTTGAATTTTTTTTTCTTTCAGAACCAGGGCTTGAACTCAGGCCCTTGCACTTGCCAGGGAAGCACTTATTCCACTGAGCCATCTCCACAGCCCCTTTCAAAATATTTTTTGATACAAGAAAACTGAATGTTTTTTCCTCTATAGACAAAAACCAGGTGCCTCACATTAATTCAGCAGTTTCCATCCAGTTTTCTTTGGGATCCTTTCATTAAGGCTATTTCTCGATTCAGTAAGATTATACACAAAAGTGATTGGATGAATTATGTGAATGCCATTGCTGAGAAGTCTTACTGGTAATGTAATATGATGACACAAATGTACATTTCAGAAAAAGTAAAGGCACAAAAAGAAGTTATGGATCTCAGTAATAAATTGTATGCCTTTATTTTTTTCAGATCACTTAATATCAAGGGTGGCAACTCTCCTTTGTAAGCACACAGATGAAGTGTTAATTAGGATGGGCCCGAGCACATCTTTCTCTGTGAACACATGTGCGATGGCCCAAGCTGGCCCTTCGCGCTGTGTACCCAAGCAACACAGACATTCCTTGCGTACCCTGAGCCAGCTGTACACAGACTCAGTATTGCAAATCACCGCACTGTATAAACTCGATGAAATGCATCAATGTCCAGTCAGTCCCTTTCTTTGCTAAAATAATGGAAGAAGACTTTCAGCACTGTACCCAAGACATGTATGGTGGCAGCTGTGACACTTGAGTTAACTTCACAATCGTGATGGAAAGATTTGCCGGATGATACCATGGCTCCTTGAGAAAATGTAAAAGCAAGGGACAACGGAGCCTGAAAAGAAACTATTCATTTGTTTCTTTTTTAAAAAAAATGAGAAGAAGGAAGTTGGGATTGCAGTACTGACAGGCAAGACACTGAAAGAGTGTCATTTCATTAATACTAATACTTAAGAAGTTTGATGCTTCATGAATTCTATCTTTTTCTTTATTTGTCTTTCCACATATTGTTCATTGCATTTCTGCCTTCTTTGCAAAACTAAAATCTTCGTAGAAGGCAGAGATTACTCATTGATGTTCTGAACAGCCTATATTCTATGTATTTTCTGAGTTCTTAATATGCTGTAGGTATCCAGCAGAAATTTATAAAACCATTGAAATAAAGATAATATTTTATTGATTATTATCTTTCTGAAATCTATTTTTCTGTTTTAGCGTTTCTGAAACAAAAATGTATCTTCCATTCAAAGATCTGTCACAGCGGCCACCAGTTAGCGCACTTCAGTGGCAAGTAAGCTTATTTGGAAGAAAATCTCAGAAATATTACTTTTATGCCCATGAGTTATAAATAATCTTCATGAAATAAAGGATAATCTCATGTAACAAATGATTCTCAAAGGCCCTGGAATGATTGAATGAAAATTGAGTTCTAAGGGTGAATTTTTTGAGTAATTCAAATTACTTTGCTTTTGTTTTCCTTTTACTGCAGTCCAAAGAGCATGGTTTAAAAGAAAATCTAAGCAAATTTAAAAGAGACATTTAAATAGCACAGCACCTCACAAGAAAGCATGGTAGTAGTTTCATTGGCACTACAGTCTATTTCAGAGTGATAGATAAAGTGATAATTTTTTTTTTTTTTTTTTTTTTTTGTGGAACTGGGGATTGAACTCAGGCCCTTATTCCACTGAGCCATCTCTCCAGCCCCTGAAAACACATCTTGCCATCACTGAATATTATATAATTTTGAGACAGAGTGTACCAATAATGGAGAGTTTTCATTCACACTTTAATATCAGTGTATTTTTTCTGTAGAATATTTTTAATAATTTATATAATAACAGATAACAATAATCACTAAAACTACCTTGAACCCTATTCCTCCAAATCACGTGTTTTATCTCGATATATTCAATTATTCTTTGCTTCCACCGTAATCTATCATCACAAGTAATTTTCATTTGCATGCTAAAGGAATTATCTCAGGCATGTGGATGTCTCTTCTAAACCCCTCTGCATCAATATTTGCCTCCACATTCCAGGCCAGAGGAGAGGAGACAGGAAGAAACACCCTCTGCATTTCCTCCTCGCCTTTCCTTTCCATTCTCTGTGAGGGAGGAAAAATACCTCCTCCATGCATGGCACCAAAACACCACCCAGAAGCCGCCAGACTTCAACATCGCTGCCTCTGTGCTCTGAGCATCTCACATTTTACTTCACCTCCTCAAATAAGCTTTGCCTTTTCTGTTTCTGGCTTTTCTGTATTTTGCCCCCAAATTCACTGTGGAAACTTTGCTCAAACTACTGCACACGTCATGAGATAATCTGTATCAACTGAGCCAAAAATGAGTACAAATACATTTGAAAAACTTCTATACCATTTAATTCTGGTTATAAATCATATGCTATAACTCAATCAATATACATTATTTTAACTATCTGAAAGTGGAAGCCTTGAGTAGGGAGTATTCTTTTATAGCTCTCTGTATCACGTTACAATTCCAAGCCTTACTTTTAATAGAGGGTCAATAAATATTTATTAAATATTGGGTCAACGCATTTACTAAGATTCTAGACATGTATACAATCTGTGTAACAATGCTTTATGCTCTGTGCTACATTTTCTTTTTAATCATTTATTTGGTCTAAGAACATACTACAAATATGTAAATGTATCACTAAATATATCACTAAGAATTTTTTTTGAAAATTGTCTTCAATAAAAGTATCAAACACTGTCATTAGGATTTAAATTTTTTATGCTGCACTTATCATTAGACACTATGTCATTGTTTATAAACAATCTCCTCTGTATGTTACACAGATGTACAATGTTTGAGAAACAGTTTTATATCAAATTCCAGAAGTTGCTTCTGTAAACCTCACTGACAGAAGGCTCTAAGATATCGCATTCCCAAGGCACACTTACCTCTCACAATGATGTTAGTGGACTTTTTGGCAGGGTTTCCCACATTATTATTGGCAAGGCAGCTGTAAGTACCAGCATCATCGGAGGTGATGGCAGGTATGGTCAAAGTTCCTCCATTCAAGACAGTCTTTTCAGGGAGGGTCCCAAGGGACCTGACCCAGGTGAGAGAGGGCGCAGGCTCTCCTCCCGTTGTAACACACACTAACGTTATGGCCTCTCCAGGATTTACAACTCTAGGATCGTCCACCAAGAGTTTAATTGATGGAGATGCTAAAAAACACAAACACAGGGACACATACCTATTTAATTATGACACAACTGGAATTCAGCAGCATGCATTCCAATTCACCATTCTCTTACACAGTTCAAAGGAAACACTGATTGTCTTTAGCAGCATCAGTCTGCACTCCGGCAAATCCACTAGATTTCTGGCGCTGAATTTTGACTAATGTGGCATTAACATATAGTACTGTATGAAGACATTTAGTCTGCAGAGGGGCATCAAGTTTAAGTTTGCCTGGTTTAATGTTCTGAAACTGGAATCATGAGAGTAATTAAAATTTCAAAACAAAACATTATTTTCTGTTTAAATGATGACAACCTTTCTTATTCTCAATATAGATGTTACATTGCATTTTAATGATGAAAACGATAAATTATTTAACTTTTGGGTCATTTTGAAGTGAAATTATTAATCCTTGCAAACTGAAAGCAGAAATGTTGTAGGTTAGATCACAAAAGTGTTTTTACCATATAGTTTGATTCTTGAAACTGATAACAAAATTACCTAAATCTGGTGCAGCCCCATGCTCCGTTAGTAACCTCTCCCCTCACAAAGGTCTAGGCAGTGATTCTCAGAAATGCAGCTTTAAAACTGAAATAAACACTCAAGAGCTCAAACATAGCCCCCAACCCATACCTCTCATTACTCTAATGTTTGGGTTATAAAAATCACACAGTAGAAGTAAGCTCCTTGTAATTTCTCAGGTTAAAAATGTGCAAACATAAGACATCCATTCAACAAAAAAATATCTTATAACCCTTTTCATCAGGGGCTCAAAATAGAAAGTGCACAAAATCGGTATTCACACAGGTACATTTTTTCTACTTGCATTGCCTAAATAATGTATCCATAAGTATAAGCAGGGGATTGCATTACACTGACATTTAGGTTCACACATTCAGAAATATTTTATGTCAAAGTCAGAGAGCTTTATTGTGTGAAATCGATCCGTATTAGGACTATAGAAACTGCTTAGTAGTACTGTATGACTTTAGATATTAACTCAGCGTAAACTTGAAGCTCAGAGGCAAAGCTCAATTCCATTGAGGTTCAATAAAATCAGTCTTGTTAAAACTAAAAGCCAAAAGAGAGCATGAAAATAATTCCACATTATGGTTTCATAAAAAACACACAGAGGACCTATATGGTCTTTTTCAGCAGCGTTGTGTCTGCCAGGTCTTTTAACATCAGTTTAGATAATAGGGGAATTTTCAAAATGGTATATTATTGGATATGCTGATATTAAATCATGAAGATTTATGATAAAACCTCTCTCTCTCTCTCTCTCTCTCTCTATATATATATATATATATATATATATATATATATGATAATATACAAAAGGTAGAAAAGAAAATATGGTAAAGGGTTATTTAATGTCACTAAGCTGATAACATGAAACATCACTAAAAATGAAAAACACAGTTAATCAAATATTCTAGAACTAAATATTATATTTAACTATAAATTGATCGTATGAAGAGGAAATAAAATACATTTTGAAGTAAATGCTTTAATCCTATAAAAATATTCAGTTAAAACACAAAGATTATGCGATATATTAGCAAAGCTTAATTTTCTTCGTATCACATTTTACTCTAAATACATAAGGTCTCAGGGTCATTAATAACACATGTTAGGAGCATGGAAAGAAGTAACTTTAATCAAGGAATATTGGCTTCTGTAAGTGGCTTGTATAAGGATGACTTGTATTCCATTAAACATTATTTAAAAAAAACTCGAGAATTTTAAAGGCAGTGCGCGCGCGCGGGCACACACACACACACACACACACAATATATATATATATATATATATATATATATATATATAAATTAAGCTTTGCTAATGTATCTTAGGATCTTTGTACTTTACTTGAGTACTTGAGTGTTTTTGTAGGATTATGGCATTTACTTCAAAATGTATTTCATTTCCTCTTCATGCAATTCATTTATAGTTAAATGTAATATTTAATTTTAGAATATTTATTAAATATATGTGTATATATGCACATGAGTGTGCATATACATATCACTGAACACTACATTCATAGTTTCTTGCACAATGTTCTTTTTGAAAAATCTGAACTGGAAAGTTTTCTTAAACTTATATTGAAGATAGCGTTCATTTTTTTATTGTTCCTAAAATGTATGTCAGAAGATCATAAAATAGCTAACACTTTGAATATTGTATGACTATTTGTGCTTATAGTATGAAAATTTCTAGGGACCGGGGAGATGGCTCAGTAGAATAAGTGCTTCCCTGGCAAGCACTAGGGTCTGAGTTCATTCTCCAATTCCAAAAAAAAAAAAAAAAAAATCTAGCCATACTCTCAGGAAGATGAAAAGGAAGCATCATTGTCATTCGTGTACTATTGGGTTACTTTGCTTTCCACAAAGTCAGATTGTTAAAACTATAAGATGTTGCTTAAAAGCCATAGGAAATTCATCAAGCATAAGTGCAAAACATGTCTTAGAGAATAAACAACAAAAATTTAATATGAGAAAAATCATTATTAGCAATATTTTAGACTATTTGTATTGGATAGATTATTTGCTAGCTTGATATTTTATATGAGTATAAAGAGTAATGTAAAATAGTCTGGGTTACTCACCCTCTTCTGAATAGCTTCCACAGGATTCATATTTTCTCTTTCAGATTACATTGTAATCTGAAAGATTACAATGCAAGCTTGCCCTGATAGTTAAATAGTTAACAACACAGACTGGGGAAAGTCACCAGGTTTTGGGATAAGACAATTATGACTTTGGTACTAGTTGAATTTGGTCAAGTTCACTTGGAGTATCTCAGTTTCCCAGTGTTGAAACAGAGAAACACAATCATCACAGTTTCATTGAAATGATTTAATATGTGTAAACTCCTAAAAATAGTACCTTATGTAGTATATGCATGGGAACTATTACTTTTCAAGATTTCAAGATATTCCTAACACTTTAAAATTTGTGAGCAGGGCTGGAGAGATAGCTCAGCAGTCTATGAACCTGCCTGCAAACACAAGGTCCTGGGTTCAATGCCTGGAACCACATACTGTGCCAGCCCTGAAGTCCCAGGTGTGCTCTGCCACCAGCAGCCACTGAAACTGGGCATGGTGGTTCATGCCTGTAATGTCAGCTCTGAGGAGGCTGAGACAGGAGGATCATTACGAGTCCAAGCTCTGTAGTGAGACCCTGTACCAAATAAATAAATAATAAAAAATAAAATTTGTGGGCATTTCATCACTTATGTTTGAGTCAAACAAGTTTTTTTCAGTGCCTATAGATCGTCCAACTACCCTGAGTTCATGGATTACAAGGTTCCTGCTCCAGTCTTATTTGGCTAGATAGAAGATGAACAAAAATAAAACTCATCTTTCTAAATTATTCCTGCAGCTGAGTGTTAAATATGTGTATTGACTGAATTGCCTCACAGCTTTATAAGAACAAAGTCTCAGAAGTCATAGATTCTGTTACCCTGAAAAATCCGCACAGTTCTAAATCAATCCCTCACAGCCAGTGGTGAGATAGATTATTATTTCAAGTTCATTTTGAAGTTTTATAGAAACTACACTTGGAAATGGTAATAGGTTGAAGCAAACACTAAAAGGGAGAGTATGCAATAACCATTCGGATATTCATCAAATCAACATGCAAAACAGCCTTGATGGTAAGTGGAAGAAAGCCAGCACAAAAATTCAACTACAATACAATCTTACTCATGCACACAAGGTTTGTTTCATAGAAGTTGAGGTTAGAAAGAGAAGGTAGTATTGTGGGAATAGGCTGAAAAACATAAAGCAAAATATAGTTAGGAAGAAAAATTTTAGTGTTCTAAAACACAGGAAAGTGACTATAGTTGACAATTTATTATACATTTTATAAAGAAATAGAAGAAGTATTCTGAATCTTCATAGCATAAAGAGATAATTAATGTTCAAAGACAGAAAAATGTTATTTACCAAGTTTGAGTCCTTAAGCATTGTATCTGCATATGGAATTAACTCATTATATCACATATGTATCTACAATTTCACACGTGTTGTGGTTTTTGTCTAGTTATCCCCCAAAGCCTCGGGCAGTCACTGGGGCAGGCTTCCAGTTTGTGGTTAACTCATGCTACAATGCTGGGATTATAGGTGAGAGTGCTACACCCATCCGGAGGCAGAGAGTCTGAATTCACGATAAGGAAGGGAGAGAGGCTTGCTTTTTGCTGTTTTCTACCACCGTGAACTACTGCCCTCTGCCACGTGCCACTCTGCCTTGAGTATGAACTGAAACCTCCACTAACTGTGAGCTATATAAACCTTTCCTTCCTTAATTTTGGTTGTCAGGTATTTTTTGTCCCAGCAATGAGTGAAAAGTAATCAAGGCAACATGTCAAATAAAAATGGAAACAAAGGAAATCCTTCCTCTTAAATAAATCTTTTACATTATCAAATTGCAGACTATATTAAATATGCTTTATGGATATTTTAGAGACAGATCAAATCACACAAAACTAATTCCAAATACACCACCAGCAATAGACATTCTGTATTTGCACAGTCCTGGTAAGTGATTATGGTTGCAGTCAGAATGTCAGAGTAGATTTATGGCAGTACTGAGCAGTGGAAAACAGATTCAAGATCTATAGCCCAACATTCTAGCATGCTTATTGTGCCTGTGATTGAAATATTTAGTAAACAGAAAGAAGAGAGAGAGAGAGAGAGAGAGAGAGAGAGAGAGAGAGAGAAGAGAGGGAGAAAGAAAGAGAAGGAGGAAGAAAAAGAAGGGAGAGAGGGAGGAAAGCAGTAGAAGACTGGAAGGAAGAAGAAAGAGCAAAGCAAGGCAAATGTCTATTTTGCTATTTTTCCTAATTGAACTGAGCAGGACTACAATGATTACAAAACAGAAAGCATATTTTAGGAAATACCTCCGAGGAAGGGAATTCTTCCCATGTCTATTTTAACACCTTTCCTTTTCCTAGAAAAAAAGTATAATTTTCTTGGATC